TGATAGCATGAAACACTGATGTCTATGTTTCCCATTTATTAGTGTAAAGTACAGTAGTTCCAAACATGTGAAAAAATATGTAGGGTGGTTTTGTGTGGAAATTGGAGATTTTGACCAACATTATTTCACCCACTGGTGTGTGACTGATCCCTTTCAGTAAAGTGGTAACACTATTCTTTCATGTCTATCAAAACGTTCTGGGTGTTTAAAAAATGATGTGAAGTTCTTTTCAGCTGGTTTTTGTATTGAGTTACTACATGCAGCAGTCATTTTTGCTTTAAAATATCAAGCTTATTTGTGTTTACATATGGTACAGGGATGCTTTACTTCACACTTTCTCATACCTTTAAGTAAAAATCCAACAAAGTGCATATAATGAACCTAAAATTTAAGTATTTTCATGGAGAGGTATATTTTCAGACCCAGCAGGGCAGGGCTTGTTAATCTCATTGTGATATTTTTCTAATAAGAAATGGCTTGATAGGTCCCTGTGGGTATGTGAAGTCAGCCCTCCAACATGGTTTTACTTTGTTAACATATTTGGCATGTATTTGAAGGTTGAGATGTACCATATGTGAGACTCAGAATGGTTGAATACTGTAATGGCTTTTCTTTGTACTGTAATTAAAAGTGATGAATATTGTCCATATTCACTAAAAAGGATTAATACCTATTAAAAATATTTGCTAGTGGCTACCATGTTTGAAACATCCAATAATCTCACTACCCAGGCAATGGACAACCCCGCAGAAAATCAAAGAAGAAACGCACTCGACATATAGCCATCACAGATCCTGATAATGAGGATATGGACAATGACAGTATACATTTGGCAGACAGTGACATGTTGGAAAGAATGGGTAAGTCTTTAACAGTCATGCTGGGTGGAAAATCCAAAAGTAACTATTGGTTTATTTGGGATTTGAAGACCTGGCTAGTATGTTCATTAGACTCTTTATTTCAGATCAAAACTGTTCTATTAATTTATTGTTTGATGTGGTGGGCAGCTATGTACCACAATTTTAATATGTAGTTTAGAAAGGAATAAGGATTAAGAAAACAACCAGTGGCATATACAGGAAAAGATACAGTCATACTGAATGTAAATGATGATTGATGACTTAAGCTATTCAAGGACATACTGTAGATACGAGTAAAATGATGCACAAGAAATGGTAAGTTAAGAGTTACTTAGAGGAAACCTTGCAAAACAGTGGACATGTTGATGTAATAAGATTACATATGGTTTTGGAGAGATGGTCAGTGGAATTTAGAGACCTATGAGTTAGGGGCTTTTAAATGATTAAGGACTTCCAGAAATTAGGTAGTTTAAGAGAACGTAAATATTTGCAAAGATGGATATTCAAAATTAATTTGAAAAAATGGGAATTGCATTCAGCTAGAAATATTCAATGCCATGATATATACAGATAATTAAATAGACTCCTGCAGAATAAATTAAATTATGCTATTACAGTATGCATCGAGTTGTTGGAGCTAAGAAAATGTATTTTATTTGAAGGTGTACCCGACCCACCTCCACCTAGTTTGGCAGCTGGTCCAACCTTCACTCTTCCCACCTCAGAAAGTTTCACTCAGGCTCTCAATGCCCACACCCTCAAGACTGACATGAGGTAAGTTACTGCCAGGTAATGAGTTATTTTTTTGTGTTTTGTGTACAGTTCATGGACTATGAGGAATAAAATGAGAAAGCAAATTTTTTCTGTGTGACATGTCACTTATGAATGTAACTTAAATATGGATTTTTTTATTTGGAATTTGTCACTGTAGCAGGAACATTTTCCATAGCAATAGTTTGTTCTTCAATATTTGTTAAAGATGTTAAAAATTAAAAATGCAAAAACATTTTTTATTCAGAAATCCTGCTCCTGAGCAAAGTAACAGATTACTTGAGGAAATTCTTCAGTCCAAACCCCACTCTGGGACCCCAGGTGCTCAATGTGATATGACCAATCTAGTCAACATGGCCACAAATGAAATCAGCAACCAGGATGAAATAGTAAACACAAATAAGGATCCATATATATATATATATATATATATATATATATATATATATATATATATATATATATATATATATATATATATATATATATATATATATATATATATATATATATATATATCAGAAATTTCAGAGTAATTTCAAATGCCCCGCCATTAGCGATACTGAGCGTTCAAGGTCATCTGAGGGGAGAGAGCGCTGCCTGCTCATAGCGAGAGATTGCGGAACTAGGCCTATATGATATTAAATGTAATTTACCGAATTAATAATGATGCGATTCATGAAGTAAGGGACTATTATTGAATTTGAAATTATTATAGATCGTTTATCAGTCTGAATAATGTTACGGGTGTCCCAAGGAGTTATTAGTTAGGCGGAAAATATGTCACGTAGGCCTAAGCTAACGCCTTGAGAGGACGCGACGCTGGCTGGCCCTCAGTCGCGGGGAGGATTCATACAAAACAAGACGTCCCTGCGCGTCCGTCACAGAAATAGTCACGTGGCCTAGTCACCTGTGTTGCGCTATTGCCGTATAACAAGTAAGTCTCATGCGATCTCAGACAGGGTTAGATAGGGCAGTGGTAAAGTAAACTAGAGCTAACAGTGAGTTCATTTCAGGGTTTCCGTCAGAACCCACTTGACTGGAGTTGACCGGAGTTGACTGCGAGAGATTGACTGCCGTTGATGATTGAGGGTGGCGATTGTCGCCATTGGACCAATCAGTGTAGGCCTGTCACTGTTTAGCGGGGTAGCAAAGGATCTCTTGAGTGAACGAGTGCTTCCGACAACTAAAACGACGGGACCAGCATCCACAGTGGGTGATCAGTTCTTACCACTCGGGTGCACAACACCACATGTCCCGAGCAGCTTAGTGAAACGCTCTTGCTAACGGGAAGCTAAAGTTTCTCTCAACTGTACAAGGTCTGATTGGCTCACTCCCTTCCGCTTTATGGACGCACTGGGAGTACACTGAGGCTATCTGAGTAAACTAATGGTCACACACTGAGACCGTGAGTCTAGGTCTCTAGGAGATACCTAGAGGAACATCTTCCCTCCTTTATTACGGGTGTAGTTAACAACATTCCTCAGACTAATATTATCTTGACGTGTGTAGTTTAATAGTCCTAAATAATTTTGATAGTATTGTTTTTGAATGTTTGTGCCATTAAGTGGAACCAGAGTGATACTGTGATTTGATTCTTTTAATGCATCTAATTGTTCTTCATAATTCTGATCTCAGGTATAACCTTGTTCCCCAGAGTAGTGGTTAAGTTAGGTTAGGAAGTGTGCATCTGTTGGGGTGCTATTATTTTGTTGAAAGCCCGTAAGGCCTATTCATTGTAGAGTATTTAATTTCTTATTTTTATTACCATTTCCTCAGTGACTGATATTATTTTGTTGAAAGCCCTTAAGGCCTATTCATTGTAGAGTATTTAATTTCTTATTTTTTATTACCATTTCCTCAGTGACTGATATTATTTTGTTGAAAGCCCTTAAGGCCTATTCATTGTAGAGTATTTAATTTCTTATTTTTTATTACCATTTCCTCAGTGATTGATATTATTTTGTTGAAAGCCCTTAAGGCCTATTCATTGTAGAGTAGTTAATTTCTTATTTTTTAATACCATTTCCTAAGTGACTGATATTATTTTGTGAAAGCCCTTAAGGCCTGTTTCATGTGTGCAAGCAACATTTCTTAATACTTCAAATTTATTGTTGCCTGTGTTTCTAATAATTTCTATATCATGTATAATTTTTAGTCCCCAGAGTAGTGTTTTAAGTTTAAGTTAAGAGGTGCGCATATTGGTGTACCATTATATGATTGTGTTTGTAGTGTTGGAGGGAATATAAGTGTCTAAATTTTACAGTGTGTCTCATTCATCCCAGTCACAGACGCTATCCTTCCACGGGTCACGGACAGTTCATTTTGTTTCGTAGATTTAAGTGTTCTTGTGCTGGTTCGGGATTTTTCTCAAAGGGGCGCTTCCACTGCCATTACCATCTATTAATTTTTAATAAACCCCAAGTCAAGTGAGAAATTAAAGTCCAGTAAATTCTGACCGGTTATATATATATATATATATATATATATATATATATATATATATATATATATATATATATATATATATATATATATATATATATATATATATATATATATATATATATATATATATATATATATATATATATATATATATATATATATATATATATATATATATATGCTGATAACCACAAGGCTTGAGAATTTGCAGTCCGGAATTCATCGATGAGGAATACAAATATATATATAATATTGGCTCAAACCTTAAATACCCTAGATCTTTCATAGACAAATGCTTAAACATTACTAAGAAAACTTTTTATAGAACTGATCCCAAGCCCACCCATGACCATAAGAATATCTTAATATTACCATTTCACAAAAATTTCTCACACATTCCTGCACAGCTAAAAACCTGGAACGTCAATGTGGCATTTAAAAACTCATGCACTGTTAAACAAATGTTAATCAAGAACTCCCCCAACAACACAATTGGTTGCATTTATAAAGTTCCTTGCAAGGAATGTAATATGTTTTACTTAGGCCAGACAGGTAAAGATCTTGCAACTAGAATTAAACAACACAAATACAGTGTTAGGATAGGCCAGGAATCCAATGCTCTGTTTGTTCATTTGAGGGATAACAAGCATTGCATTGACTGGGATAATGCCTGCTCAATATTACCATGTAATTCAATTGATAGTAGGAACATCATAGAATCTAGTCTTATTAAACATACCGAAGCATTCAACATGAATTTGAGTAACGGCATGTACAAGCTGGACAATTTTGTAATTAAGAAGATTTGTGATCAGGTGAGAAGGCCGGGTCACTTGACCATCTGACCTGACCACCAACCGTTGTGTGCTATTTAAAGATTAGTAGGGTCATTACCTAATACCTGACCATTGTGGACCTGGTCTCACCCTCCTCTGTATATATACACCTTGATTTGTATTACTCTCTCTAGTCTGTACTCACCCCTGAAGATGTGAATTACACGAAAGCGCTTGGGAACTTCGTGTTTTCTTCTTTCCTTGTGGTTATCAGCATATACCTAGATCACGCGCACCTACAGTGATTTACTTGCATATATATATATATATATATATATATATATATATATATATATATATATATATATATATATATATATATATATATATATATATATATATATATATATATATATATATATATATATATATATATATATATATATATATATATATATATAGGGATTCTTCTTTTTCTTTTATTCAGGAACATTTCTTGTGTTTAGAAGAGGTAACCGCTAATGCCCGTCAGTTGTTTTCCTCCCCTGATCCAACTCTCTTGCCCAAGACCCCTCTGGGCAAGAAGAAATCTCGACTGAAGAAACCTCATCACTCATCAATTGCAGGCGAGATTTTTTATGGGAATCCTTGGGAATTGTCTCAGGTTTTTAATAAATTATGGTTTATTTAATTTACATTTATACAATTCAAAAACTGATACAGTAGGTTCAGTGAAAAAAATATTCAAGATGGAAAGTACAGTACTGTACAGTAGAACCTTGTTATTTTCAACTCGGCTAATACAGATTTTGCCTAATTCAAACTTTTCTCAAGCATGAACAGATAATTTCTACTTCGAACCAATTGCCTATGTTCAATTTATATCATCCTGATTTGAACCTAACCAAATTAAGGCCAAAATTCCAGCTGTAAAAATCTGTTGTTGATCAATCCAAGTACAGTCCTATTAGCTTTGCAAATTAATGATGAGTTCAAATGAGGAAAATTCAGAGGAAAATATAAATCTCTAAGCACAACAGGCAAACTGAAAAATATTTAAGAACTTGAGCAATAAAACCAATAAACACCACAGTTGTTACATGCATTTTGATCCATGTCTTGCTTACCGTACCCCTAGATCTCACTCCCAGGCCGGGGGGGGTGTAACTGTTCCCCACTTGTGAGCTACAGTATATATTATGTTATGGGTATTTTTCAGCTTGCTGTTATCCCACATTTAGCAATAATTTTACTCGAACGTTAGGTTTTCAAGATGAGGGATACAGTGAGTTCTGCTATAACGCGTGTTTTGACAACGCGAATTGGCTCTAACGCGATTTATGAATAGAGGAACGATATTTGTATAACTCGAACGCTTGTTTGCTGTAACACGATTTTGCTTACTATTTCTCCAATTTTGTGGCATTAACTGTGAATATGGTAAAGAAGAATATCTCCAAGAAGTGTTCTGGTGATCGCATTCCCGGTGATGATCGTAAAAGAAAGGCTATAACACTTGAAGAGAAGCTCGATGTTATCAACCTCAAAATCACCCTTCTCCCCCATCAAGTTATATTCATATTTTTTCAAGGTAAAGTGTTACATTTACTGTATGATTTCATTATTAGATATGAATGTAACATTTATTTAGACTGTGCTATCCTTTGTGTTAGGCTAACTACTAAATTTTTTTCGATTTCGAGTAGTAATCTGCACCTAACCCTATTTTCTCCATAAGCCCTGTTATTTCTATTACACGAATTTCTATAACACGATGTTTTACAAGAACACAACTATCGCGTTATAGCAGAACTGACTGTACATGTATTTAAATTTTATGTAATACAGTACTGTAGTAAGTAGTAAAATCCCCTCCTTCCCTCCTATTTTTAAATTTATGGCATTCCAAACCCCCGTCTCCCCCATTAGTTTGAAATAAAGGGATTATACTCATATTTACAAATATGATCCCATTACAGTATAGTCATAATAAAAATTCAGATCAACTTACGAACTTTCCCAGGTACAATACTGTACTAATGAATACTGTACTGTACTTTGTTCAGCATTATGACTCCACATATTATTTACGGGCTATAATTTGTTATGATTTTATAAGTACCGGTAGGGATGGGTTTTATTTATATTTTATTGTGAATTTTTTATTTATTGGGAGAAGGGGGGGAATTAGCCCACCAGGGCACAGGTCAATGACCCACATCAGGGCCTGGGGGCGAAAATATAATAATAATAAAAAATTAGAAAAAATAAAAATGTGTATGATATACAGTAATACTGATTATAATGATATAATAAATGACAATAGAAAAAAGAAAGGAAAAAAAAGTTCAAGAGTGAGAAACAATATATGTATGCTGTGTTGTCAAAGTAAGAGAAACAATTGAGACCCTGCAATTGTGTGTAAATGAGGCAGAAAGTCAGTTCAGCAACCTGGGACTTGGTCACAATTTTTGTGGTGCCATATGGCAGCAGAGTCTACCATTAGACAATACTTATGCTGCCAATATCTTCCCAGGTGGTAGTACCTCCATGTTTGGTAGCTGCCTACTACCCATGGTTCTGGGTTCCCAATAAATTTATTTATGAACATGATCTAGGAATGTAACTTGGAATACTGTACTGTACTGTATGTCTTTCCATAGTGTTTGCTGTTTTTATTATTATCATCTTGTATTCCACCTGCATCCCCGCAGAAGATGAAGTATTTTCATCATCCAAGAGGTTGTCCACTTGTAACACAGGAAGCAACATCAATAATCAAAGCCCTCTTGAAACACCCCCAAGGAGGGGCAGAGCTGCATCTCGGGTAATTATCCAAATTGTTACAGGAATAATTGTACTGTAATGATTTTTTTGTTTGTTCTGTTTAGCCATTTCCTGTTGCTGAATACACTGGTCTTGAAAGTATTCTCTGTTAACATCCCTCCTATGAAGTTTTTGTATGTGGAACAATTATTCAAGTGCTTTGTATTTTGTTCCTTCATATTTTTCTCCTCGCTGCAATTTGTATCTCATTAGTAAGGAAGAAATGATAAATAGTTTCTTATTAGTTATCATGTTGGGTACATAATACTGTACACTTGACGCATATTAGCAATGTAAATTTGTGATAAATTTCAAAGAATAATACTGTATTTTCTATAGCCATAACTTGGATTATTTTACTATTTCTGACAGCTCGCTCACGAGAAAATGAAAAGGGTACCTATGACAACAAAAAAGACAAGAGGAACATGTCAGGTTATTTTCAAGGGAGACTCCTTTGAAAGCAGCTCCAGGTATTTATGGACCATTGACACCTTACTTGCCATTTTATAATAACTCAAGTGAATGTTTTATAGGAACTCCATTGGTGTGGCCATGTGGGTGAGAGTAGATGTGGGGTTAAAGTTGTTTGATTAGCTTAGATCAGAGGGCAGACAGAGCCTAAATTGAATATGCAAAATGCCTAGGCAACATTTTCAGTGGTAGCTGTTTTAAGCAAAGTAATTGTCTCAGGTATATGAACTCTAAAGTGACAGATCTTGTAACTACCATATCCATATTAACGTACTGTGGTAAACTTGTGGAATTTGGCCAACCATGTGATGTTAAAATACTTCAGAAAATATATATTTATGTACCTGTAGTCTATGTAATTTACTGATTTATGCCTTTTTTTCAGTTATAAAGAAGTAGTAAAAGGAGCAGACTCTGGTCATGGGGAAAATTGTGAGTCTCATTTTGAAGAGATGGAATATGAATCAACTGTTGATCCTTGTGAATCAGCTGTTAATCCTTTAGCACTAGACACACCAAGTAAGAAGAATGATGGTGTAAAATGTCTAAGTGTTAAAGTCAGTCTTGAAAGATTATCTCATTTACACACATCTCAAGAAGTAGATAGTTCAAAAGATACAACACAAGTTACTGTTACAAATGCATATCAGGAGGAAGGTGTAGGTTGTATTAGTGAAACAACTTGTTCATACTCTAACCTCAGGTTAGAAGACAGCGACGATAACAAAAGCACCAGAATAAAGGAACTGGATGTTCAGAGATCAGGGAATGAGATGTGTAAAGGCAAAGAAAAAGAAGAGCCTTTATCTCCCAATAATTGTACTGAAAATGCATGTACAAAATGTGAGAATTATGACGAGTGTAATTCTCAATCCAGAACCCCTGAAGAAGTTAGGATTTTGCCAGAGCAAACAGAAAAACTTGTTACAACCAATACCAAGTGGTCGAACCACTCGAACAAAACAAAAGGAATTGCAGTTATCAACACGAGGAGATATAACAGATAATATGGTAAGCACAGCAGATCAGCCTCATCCCATTCCCAAACCAAGATTAACTCGTACAAAGCAAAAGGAGGTCTTACCATTGCTCGATACAATTGATGAATCAGAAGGTCAGTTGTTACCACCCATGGACTTTCCAAAACCAAGAATGACTCGCACAAAGACTAAGGCAAAAGAACAGACTAACAAATTTGAAAATGTGGAATATGATTCACAGTCTTCAGTAGAGGAGGGGTATAATACCCATGAGAAAGCTGTTGCACAGCCATCTGAGGAAATCCCAATGTCTCGTTCTACTCGTACAAAGAAAAAGGTGATAGAGGTAATTTCCTTAACTGACACTCCAGTCAAGAATGACATTAATAAATCAGTAGACAATGAATCACAAAAACCAAGGACAACAAGAACAAAGAAACGAATGTTTGACGAGTTAGGTGTAGATCAGCCTACTAGATCTACAAGGACAAAGTGTAAGAAAATGGAAGAACAACCTGAAAAAGAATCTGTGGCTTCAGAAAAACTTGGTCTATGTTTATTTCTTACTGAACCTGAAGATGAGAAAGACGGCAAATCATCTCAGGTTGTACAGAAATCACCACTTGTTAGGTCTGTTCCATCAGTAACATCTATGAAGCCATCACAATCAGCGACCTCCTATACCTCTGAGAATACTGTAATGGCTGCTACATCTACTCAGAACACAGAAATTGGGCCGGTTCGCCGGATAATCGATCTAAGGTGCGCCAGTTGCCAGCTTTATTATTAAGCCCTTGTCCATCGTCGTCAACTGTCCAAGTTGTAACTCCAGGTAGTCCAGTACACACTAGTTTTAAGCGTGCTTGCTGTACACCAAATTCAGACAAGGACTCTCCAATGTCTTCTACTGTACGCCAGAAGGGGACACGCGCGATGACCCCTGTAAAACATTCTCCACGAACATTTGCTGGGTGAGTGATGCTCTTGAGGTGTAATAGGTGGAGAATAGTAATATACAGTATAATGATTGTAAAATGTGCAGATAATGGCCATAGACAATAAAATTATTTCATTAAAGGAACAGTATACAAGTTAAAGTGAGGGAGGAGGATTGAGTGGTTCACTAAGGTCAAAGTTACTATGTTCATGAAATGTACTCTTTTGTCCCCTGCTGCTTTGCAAAATATGAGGACTAGATTTTAGTTATCCATCTCTCCAACTGTTATCAAAATTTAAGAACTCTAAAGTATGCACAGTACAGTTGGTCCTCACATTACGCGGTTAATGTAACCCGGAGGGTCCCGCGGAAAGTGAGGAACTCGTAAAGTGAACAACATAACATATGGGATTAATTGAAATGGAGTCCAGGCCGATCCCCAAACTCCACTTTTTGACGACACACAACTATGTTGTAGTAAAAATATTATCTTAACTTTATGATGGCATGCACACACAATTAATAATTAAGAGAAATATCAATAATATTAGGTTTTTTAACACTTACATTAGTAGAAAAGATGGCTGGGCACACGGGGATGGGGGGTTGGTTCCGAGGCAGAGGGCAGATTATTGGCCCTCACCTGTATCACTGGTATCAATTGTATCACTATCCACCACAGAGGCTTGCAGGGCCTCTTTGTTAAACCCCTCAAAGTCCATACAAGTCCATATCCTCACTATAATTATCACTATCACTGACTTGGGCCGGTTGTGGTGGGTGGCGGGTAAAGAACTCGGTAATGTTTTGATGATTGGGCGACCTTGTGCGCACCATTTTCGCGCCTCTTACACAACATGGCGGATGGCGGGAGGTTTGGATCCAAAAATGGCGCGGCTTGCCAGCCGCTCTCCGCGTAATGGGGTTCACGACCGCGGAATGTAAGAATGTTAGGTTCTGGCAAGGCACCGCGTTAACGGTGAAACGCGGAATGCGGGACCGCTTAATGTGAGGACCAACTGTATTTTATTTTGAAACTTTACCAAAGTATGCATTAGCAAAGCCTTTATTTTTTATACCTTATGCCAATTTTTAGTCTTCCCTTTATAGTCAGGGGCATAACCAGAGATCAAGGTGAAGATCAGACTTATAAACAAACTTTGTGATTGCTCTGAAACTTTCGACAGTATAGCATGTTTCCCCATGATCTTAAGCAGTCAGTGGTGTGAAGAAGTCAGGAGTAAAGTGATATTGGGAAAAGGTGATCTCTCTCTGATAATCTTGTTGTAATCAGTCAACAATTGTAAAAACATTGTTGATCTTTAAAGTTGACATTGTCTGGTAGTGGAGTATATTGTGTTGATATTTCAAGATAATTTCCATATTAGTTAAAGAGTTACAGAAGGATATAAGTTGTTTATTATATATTGAAGATGAACTTTCCCTTATAAGTTAGACCTCAATCGGGACTGTGCATGACACTTTGTCTTTTGGCGATGCAAGTTGCACCAGTGTGTCATGGGGATATTTTCATTGGTTAAGAAGTTGTGGAGTGAATACAGACAGATTTCTGTACTGTATCCAGGGTACTGCTGTAACCTTGAAGGTTAAGTCCCCACTTGGTCCATGACGTATTGCCTGGCAGTTGCTACATTGTGTTAATGTACCTTGATATCCTTTTTGGTTCATAGGTTTCAGGGTGGACATGAACACTTCATTAATATGCCTAATTTTATCCTTGAAGATACGGACAAAATATTATTTGACAAATTTCATTCCACTTATGCATAATGTGGTAAAGCTTCATTAAGATGCAATATTTCATAGTTTTAAAGTTATGGTCCTGGAGGGAGGGAGGGACAAATAGCCTAATTCTGCAGTGGTGGTGAACAAATCTGTTTCTGTTTAATTAAAAAAACCTGTTATACAAAGTAGGTTTACAGTAAAGTGGGGCCATTTGTTTTTAGGATACTTTTATTATTTTCCTGGTGGGGGTGGAGATGACATCATGCCAGTATCATTTTGATCTCTACATTTGCATTTTTTTTTTAGTTTATTTAATCAATTTATCATATTTCAGCTCAAAAACAGGCTGTACTGTACGAGAATTGGCAACTGCATATCAGAATCACATTGGAGAAACCCTTAATGAGGTTGAAGAGCTAACTTCTGAGGAGTGTGAGGTGTGTTTATAAGTGGTTGAGTTCGTTACTCTGGTAAAAAAAAACTGTATACAGTATAGTCTTCATTTGCGCGGTCAATTGAAACCGTGGAGGTCCGCGTAAAACGTGTAAACGAAATAACAGAACATATGGGATTAATTGAAATAGAGACTGGGCCGACCCCCAAACTACACTTTTTCTGACACAATAGTACGTTGTAGTAAAAATAACATCTTAATTTTATGATGGTATGCACACACAATTAATATTTAAAAGAAATATAAATAATATTAGGTTTTTTAACACTTACATTAGTAGAAAAGATGGCTGGGCACACGAGGATGGGGGGTTGGTTCTGAGGCAGAGGGCAGATTAATTGGCCCTCACCTGTATCACTTGTATCAATTGTATCACTATCCACCACAGAGGCTTGCAGGGCCTCTTTGTCAAACCCCTCAAAGTCCATATCCTCACTATCACTGACTTGGGCTGGCCGTGGTGGGTGGCGGGTGAAGAACTCGGTAATGTTTTGTTGACTGGGTGACCTTGTGTGCACCCTGCCCGCGCCGCTTTCCGCGTAAATGATGGAATGAACCGTGTAAATAAAAATTGCCAGTCTGGCAAGGTGCCGCGTAAATGACCAAACGCTTAAGCCGAGACTATACTGTATATATATTTTTAATCCTCCCAGTATAAGTCAGTGAGTTGTGAGTAATTTTATTGCTTGTCCATGACTCCTGTATTTGTGATGGCCACATAAAGCAAATATCCATTTCTGTTTATATAATGGCTATTTTATCTTTCAGGTAACACACTCCCCAGCTCATGTAACACGACATGCACGAGTTAGACATGCAAAGGTGAGAAGCTCCTCTTGGTTATATGTAAACTTTTAGAAAATATAGTACAGTATTTGAGAAATTATTACTAAACCTGACATGAATATAATAGGTTGAGGTGCATTTGTACAGGGAGTAAGTTACTAATGCAAATTAGACTTACACTACAGTAATTGAAAGAAAAGCCATTGACTATGCTAGTGAACAGGACGTTGTCTCTTGCCAGAAGTCATTAATGTTTAAAGATATTTATTGCCACCACCAACAGGGTCATGTGAATAGGCCTTTCAGCAAGCTGTCTTAAGTTGCCATTTCTGACTGTTGGCATACTTAATATGAGTCTTTTCCATGACAATTCATAGGGCTGCCATGATTTTTATGTTCAAGTGTTTAAGGTACCATTCTGGGTGAGTTTGTATTTTTCTTGGGTGCAATCTGATATGCACAGGGACTGTCACTTAGTCTAAAGATATAAGGCTAACCAACCATTTACAAGAGTTTCCAATTTACCTTTTTTCTTCCCTTTTAGATATTACAAATAATATATGATTGCTATATCTCATGGTTGTTAGCTTTCAATCAGTCCTGACCCAAAAGGAGGTGAGTTTCTGATAGTAATCATTGAAATTTGTAAATGGCTTCATTATGTGTGTTATGTTTTTGTGTATTTCGAGTGTTTCTGGCATGACCATTTTGTTCTTGAGGTTTCTGTTTCCCTTGATATGCCCTATGTATACAGTATAGGAGCAGAGAATAGAAAATTACAAAATGTAGATAGAATAATAGTGTAAATTACATAAAATGTACTATTTAACATTAATGAAGAACTTATTACTGTACTGTTACGATTATATATTCATTTCTAGAAGCCTCAAATGTTCCTTTAACAGGGTGAGAGTTCAACAAGAACTATCGCAGGAGTTTAAAACGTGCCCTAGAGATTGCAAGAGGTGCCGAGTTGAAAAAAGCAATGAAATATTCGGAGGTTTGATTTTTTCAGTACTGAGAGCATTTACTTGGGCTAACATACAGTACTGTAATGTAAGGGTATTGTTAATTAGGAGGTGGTAATATTAGAAAGGGGAAATTAATGGGTTCACAGGGAATTACAGTATATTGGTGCTTATTGTTTATCAGAACTATTTCACCATTAAACAGCTAATAAATGTTTAATGTTCGTGAGTTGTAATGGGTTGTGGAGGTTGTGTTGATTTTTATTTGCAAAGAAGCTATTCGGGTTTACTTACATTTTGAAATGTGCAGATATAATGGCCCTTTCCCCCAAAAAACTAACTTTACTTTAATCATTGATATCTTATGAAATGATAGTGTGCTGTATTTGCATCACCTGGCTGTATTTATATACAGTATACTATCCTTCATATATGGTCACTCTATGTATGTATTGTATATTGGTGCATCCCTCTTAATGGCCAAAATCCACATGTACAGCACCTAGAATTTGAAATTCCTTTTAGTTATTAAACTTGTAGTATGGTAAGCATTTCCTTTGTGCATCTTTGTTCTTAGATTAGTTCTTCCTGTTCATCCACAATTTCTTCCTCACTTGTATAGCAGTAAACATAGAATTTTTTTAAATAAAGTATGTTTCTTTTTCATGGGACTACTTTGCCACTACCAAACCCTATTATTTTGAGTGAACTCTACCTACTTAAATGCATTCTTTGTAAAGTACAGTAGATAGCAACTGTACACTCTTCAAGTTTTCGATGTCCATTCTTACAATGAAACCTCCATATAATGGATTCCTCTCTCCATATAATCTGTTAGATGGGGTTTCATATCAAATGGATCCTCAATATAAGAGACTTTTATCTCTATCTAACATACTGTAGTTCATTAGATGTGGGATTCACATAAAACGGGTCCTCTATATAGCGGAGTCTCCTTTCTACATTGTCCGTTAAATAGAGGTTTCACTGTAGTGTACAGTAATTTAATTTTGCAATGGGTAACAACAAACAGTATAGTACAAGTATTGCACCCTTTTTTACTCATAAACCTTATTACCAGACTTGAATCAATCAGAACTGTACTGGTATAATTGCAGATTTATGAAATGTATGTACAGTACAGTATTTATATTTACTGTACGAGGCAGTGGTGAAAGATTACTGTATTAAATGAATGGTTTGATTAATGTTAGTCCTCATATACTGAGATCACATACTGTACTGTACTGGGAATGGTAATTATTGGAGAGCGGTTCTTAGTATGACAGCACTTGACGTATATACCAATATTGTTAACAGTGGCCTGGCATTCTTAAAAAAAAAATTACTTTTGTGATGTGGTTTAATCAAAGATGGCATTTATTGTTTAGCTTTAATCAAGAATATTAAGTTGTTAATCCCTGGAATGTTCTTCAATGGTGGCTTCATCATATCTTCATTGTTTTATGCCCATTTCTCTTGTCAGGTTTCTATCTCTCAGATAATTCGTGACTTCTCCCCATGTCAGAATTACCTGTAAGTATTTCATAGTTAAATTTATGGAGGGGTTAGTGTATGTTCCATCATATTAAGATAAATCAAATGCATGCAGCAAATTTCGTGTTTCATCTTGAAAAAAAGCTGAACTATGTCAATAATATATTAACTCACTGTATTTATTTCAGACTCCAGACTCCCAGAGAGTTCGGATAAAGCCCCCTGCCAGAACCCCACCTGCAACTTGTACTTCAGATAAGGTACTGTATTTTCAAACTTGGGTGTTTTTTTGTATTTTTCTTATTACTGTTATAGTTGTGCTGTCCAACTGAGTCATAAACTCAATTAAAAGAGATATAAATAGGGATTAAAAATATAAGGAGTGAGCTTGATCATCTTTATTTCTCTTCCACAATTTGGTGATGTGAACTACAGGCAGTCCCCGAGTTATGTATGGGATCCAATACATTCACTACAAAAATCTCTAAGATCCCATATTTTACATTACTTTACTTTCATTATTCTGTATTGTTTAACATCACTTTATTTACAGTATTTACATTATTTGTTATGTATGGGATATTATTGTTGTTTTATATGGATGGGATTCTATACTTTAATCTCTTCTACTTATCACTTCAACTGGAAGAAGCAGTTGCTGAGCATTTAGACATTTTGGAAAGGTCGGCATTTGCTAAACTCCAGGGGAATTGTAGCAGTAAGTGGATATGTCCTTGATTTGAGTGACACCTTGTTTGCAGCTGGGGAAATGTGCAGTAGTATTACATACTGCATATGGTATACTCTATATACAATATACACTTTCCTTTGTTCTGAATGATGCCTTTACTAAATTTTATAATTGATATATTTTTTTCCTATGTAGGTTATTCGACCAAAGAAGATTTTACTCAGCAGCAGCAGCAGTACCCATGGTAGCTCTCGTGATACACCAAAAACTTTCTCAAGAAGTCGGCTGATGCTTACCTCGTCATCCTCGGTAAAACACAAAATACAAAAGGTTTTGCATACAGTATTTATTATATACAGGAACACCCTGGTTAATGAGAGGGCAACTGCAACATTAGAAATATATAATTCTTATGCTAACAGCCATTATATTTTAGTGTATTTTGTTCTAAGTCTTTTAATGAATAAGATAATAACTGTAGCAGTATTTTATTTTTATTATCAAAAGTATCAGGTAAATTGCTCCTCCTCCTCCTCCTCCTCCTCCTCCTCCTCCTCCTCTCCTCCCTCTCCTCCCTCCCTCCCTCCCTCCCTCCCACAATTGTGTGAAATGAGTGACGAACAGTGCTATAGAAACCTTGTCATCACGGGGGTTAGGTTCTGAACTGCTTCACAAAACCCCAAGTTTGCTATGATTTTGCCTAAAATAAAGATTACAAACTCCTGTGACTTTCATACTATATTTGCCAGTGTATGTTTGTATTTTTCAAATTCTTTTTACTGTATTATTATTATTATTAATATTTTCATTCTTCATAATCAAGTTTTGAAGTTTAATCATGTTTTATTACAGAAATTTGGTGACCCAAATGAAGCTAAATACCCAACGAACATAGTTACTGGAATAACATCATTCATCAAAATACAACCAGCAAAGCCATCACTTGAGGAGAAGCGACAAACAGGACTGCAAAAGAAGAGGGATCGAGAGGATGAGACGATAAAAAAGAAAGAAGAATTATTAAAATTGAAAGCAGAGGGGCAGAAAAGGTTGGTCAGGAGATAAATATCTAGAAATATGAAAGTCAGAGCTGTTCTTAGGATTCATAATTCAAGTTTTATCTGAGTGTCAAATGGATTGTTGCATGAATAATGGGAGAACAAGGTGTTGGGTGGTTTAATGAATCTTGTATGAATTGTCATTAATTTTATTCAATTATTATTTTATAACAGACGCAACGAGGAAAGGATGAAGCGGGTACAGGAAGCTCGTGAAGAAAGAGAGCGTAAGGCTATAGAAGCAAAGAAACAACAAGACAGAGATAAAAAGAACAGAGAGGAGCGACTAAGAGAACAGCAGCAGCAGCACAGAAAGCAGCAACTTCTTGCTAAGAGACGTGCAGAAGAGGCTAGAGTTAAGAAGATTAAAGAACAGGTAGGTTTAAGCAGTAACCTTGGAAATTAAATTATTCATAGTTGCGTTGAATTTAAAACTCTCGTATATATTTACTATACAGTAAACCCTCGATAAATCAGCACATCTGGGCTCTGGCCTTGCTGAGGTATACCAGATTCTGACTTATCGAGGCCTTTCCCCCTTCATACAAAAATCATCGACCCATATGTGTGTGTGTACAGGTAATTACTAAATATACAAAAAGTAACACTTACCAGCACTGCAGGCGAAGAATGGAGCATCATTGTAGGTGACACAGAGGTATGGTAGGTGACACAGAGGTATGGTAGGTGACACAGGCATGGTAGGTGACACAGGCATGGTAGGTGACAGGCATGGTAGGTGACACAGGCATGGTAGGTGACACAGGCATGGTAGGTGACACAGGCATGGTAGGTGACACAGGTGTGGTAGGTAACACAGATTCATGGTAGGTGACACAGAGGTATGGTAGGTGACACACAGGCATGGTAGGTGACACACAGGCATGGTAGGTGACACACAGGCATGGTAGGTGACACACAGGCATGGTAGGTGACACACAGGCATGGTAGGTGACACAGAGGTATGGTAGGTGACACACAGGCATGGTAGGTGACACACAGGCATGGTAGGTGACACAGAGGTATGGTAGGTGACACACAGGCATGGTAGGTGACACAGAGGTATGGTAGGTGACACACAGGCATGGTAGGTGAGACACAGGCATGGTAGGTGACACAGAGGTATGGTAGGTGACACAGGCTACCAGATATGCCGAGATTTTTGCTGTTGACAACACAATATACATAATGTATGTCGTTTCTCACTCTTGATTTTTTTTTTTTTACTATTTACGGTTATTTATT